TAATATGATGCCTTAAATCACATCTTTGCCTAACGCAAGAAAAAATATAATATAAGTACTTTAATTTCCTTTTAAAACATTTTCTAATAACATATTTTACTCAAAAACCTACATCTACAAAGTTATCACTAAAAGTTACGTTCGCAAGTTGATGCTATCGTCAGCTACATAGTCACCGATGACGGTATTAGGTCACAATCCCAATACCCGGCGCGCCTATTGCCAATTATCGGGTGCAACTTCAATCCCGGCGCGACGCGGCGCGGTGGCGCCCAAATTGAAAATGTTTGTAAATGTCACGCGGACTGACATGTCAACTAGTTGATGTAGATTTGGTACCACTACCTTCCTTTAACTGCAAGAAAAAATACTACAATTAATTGTAATTAAGAGATAATACCTAGATCATCATCTCATAGTTTAGAATCAAACACTATGATTAGTAGTTGCGAAAAGGTTAATGTAGTATGATGCACGTTGACCAATCCCAATCTTATTAACTTCATTATATTTCAACTTTATTACAATTGGAATAGAATTATGATTTTATATTGACTGCACGGTTGGTGCGGTGGCTGGGCAACTGGCTGCCGTGCAACGTGTCGCGGGTTCGATTCCCGCACGGAACAACACTTTCACTTGATTCACAAATTGTTGTTTCGGGTCTGGGTGTATGTGAACTTGTATGTTTATAAACGCGCCCATGACACAGGAGAAAATACTAATGTACGGCAACGTTTTAAAAAAAAATCGATTGTTGAGCAGATGAGTCTGTGCCACTACTGATAATCTATACTTATAATAAATCTGTAGAGTAATCAATTCTGTACATAAAATATATTTAACACTAGAAAGACCAGAGTGGTCAAATGACCCCAATGAAGTCTTTGATCAATCATAATAACAAAACCATAACAATGAAGCCAGTGTCGTTTTATGACTTTTAATATTTCGTCATTGTTTACATTATTCTGATATGTGTATATCGATAGCTAGATAAATACAAATTAAAAATTATCACCTACCTAGAAAGACCGAAGTGGTCATTTGACACCAATGTATGCGTACTTTGTATTATTTCGTTGAATATCCTCTTGTTGTGGGTACTTGAAATAAAATATTTCATTTCTTTATTGTTTTGTTCTTGTCAAAGTAAAGACGTATATATCACGGCTCGCCATATAATTATAATGCCTAATTATCGTTCCCTTTCGCCTTCTAATATATTGGAAGTGCTGCAAAATTTACCGGACCACCAATCAGATTGTGAAGCGACTGAAGAAGAGAGGCATATTTTGCATTTAGACTCAAGAAGTGAAGAAAGCGATTACAATATTACACAAAATAGTGATTCTTCCAGCGATGATGACCACACTCATAGCGATTCTGATGGTAGGTGTATATTATTTTATGTATTGATGTAAATAAAATAAGAATTTTCATATTGAGAGAAAAGGCAATCTTTTATTATATTAGCGTTTACTCCACTGTTTCAGATTCAGTACCTCTCTCGACTTTACGTAGTGCAAACCTAAGAAGAGGAAGAGGTCGAGGTCGAGGTCGCGGTCGGAGTCGAGGGCATCGTGGCCGAGGTACCAGAATACATACTGAAATTATTCACCACAACACTGATGTCGAGGTATCTTCTACCGGTATAAGTTGGACTCCTGGAAACTTATCAGTTTTGAATCAGCCTGGTCGTCGTCCACGACAGAATATTCTAACAGAGGAAGCTGGACCAACTTCTTTTGCAAAAAGGTGTTATAAAGGAGGTATTTTATCTGCATGGATTCTAAGTTCACTTCACTCTAATGTATTTGTTGATCCAGAAGAAGCAAAAAAGAAACCGAACACGGTGAAGTTTTACAATGCTACGAAATTTGGAGTAGACGTTATTGATCAAATGGCCAAAAAATATAGTGTCAAAGCACCTTCTCGTCGTTGGCCCGTGCAAGTGTTTTATAATATTTTGGATTTGGCAGCAATTAATTCTTGGATTTTGTACAAAAAACTATCCCAGAAAAAAATCAGTAGAAAAAAGTACATTCTTGACTTGGCAAGGGAGTTAGTCGGCCAAGATACCCACTCCCTGATAACACCATCTACTTTACAGCCTGATAATAGCATACCCCCAGAGCCTCTAGAAGAACGTAGTGGAAAGAGGAAACGGTGTTACGTACAAAAATGCAAAAACAAAACCAATAAATCTTGTGTTAGTTGTCTGCTCTTGAAAAAGCCTTTGTGTGGCTCTTGTAATGTAAACAAGGAGCTAAAATGTCAAAAATGTGCCTAAATTTTTTATTTTTTTATCAATAAATAGATGTTTAATTACTATTAAGTTATTTTATTCATTATTGGATGCTAATCAATAAAACTTAAAACCATAATACACGAATAAAACATTACAACCCATGAAGGTGTCATTTGACCCCACTTGGTCTTTATAGGTAGTTCGAAATTCCGGTCTTTCTAGTGTTAAAAAATAAAAGGGCGACTGTACTCGAACACTCTCCGACAGCTGTGTTACACGCGCCGCGCCCAAACTATTTCGTCGACATCGTCAATATTGTCTCTCTTTTCTTTTCCAACTTTATTGCTTCTGCAACTAATGTAGTTTGTACAGTTCAGGCTTACTACGAGACTGCTTACTTAGTATTTTGCCTTGTAACCAAATGTTTTGCTGAGGTAGTTGTCAGGAGTTGGTTGGACATTTTTGAGGGTTTTAATTGCCAGTATTTGAATGTGTAAATACATTGTTCTAACCAAAACATACGAAATGTTATAAAGATGTTAAAATATCAGAATTAAACAATATCTTCTTCTGCATAAAATTCAACTTCATTATTCAACAGATTTTGAGCAATCGCAGCTTCATTTTGGAGCACAAGACGAATGGCCAGGTAGACGTAATATTCGCGCGGAACACCTCTCCCGGCAGATAACGAGACCGCATCTCTCTGCGTACGTCATTAATCTCAAACATAAATTGCCACACGAGGTGTAAAATAAGGCACAAAAACATCTACATCGCTGAAATCGTTCCGCCAAAGCGGATCAGGCTCATTAAGAGCATTCCCGTCTAAAGGGTTGGAACAAACGAGGCTACATTTGCACGTCGACCGAACCCTCCCGCCGTGCGCCGGATAATATCGTTCGTAAAAAATTTCGACTATGAATTTTAAAAGCCTAGTAAATTCTCAAATTTTATAAACGGTTTCAAAAGATACTTATTATACGGGGAAGATAATCTGCAAAGGCTTTGAAGCTGAAATAATTGACTACTGAAACATTTACCTCTTGAATTTATGAAGTGTTGTTAATACCTCGGAAACTATTGAGCTCGGAATATTTCAGATTAAAGTCGTGGCTGGGAACATTGTACGGCGTTTGATACCTAAGACTAAAATGTTGAACAAAACTTTTCGCCGTTGAAAGTTTAACAGTTCAAGAAGAATCACTTCGTAAGGCCTTTTCACAAAGTCTAGTTGACGTGACAACGTCTTAAATTAGGTTGCGGCTGGGAGTCACTTATGAAAAAGTGTAACGCTCGGTAACGTTACGATGAGTCACCGAACGAGAGAGAGGCCCGCCGAATGCCTTGCGTCTCTCTCCCACTCAACTATGATCGATTGTTCCTATTGTGCAATTTAATTATATTCATATCAATAAATATTCTACCGAGAAAAAGACGTTGTCACGTAAAATCTTCGCCCGTAAAAACGACTTTACAGGCAACCATTTTTTTAAGCCATTCTTAATTTTCTCCATATCAGTAATAAATATCAACTTTATTAAACACGTTTAGAGGTGATATTTGTTTCAAAATGTCACCTACTTACGTCTTTACGTCTTTGTCATATCTGGCGGTACGTCAAGCGTACCGTGGATCCAGTTTAACATAATTGCCTCAACACTGTCGAGGGTAATGTCTCAGAAGAATTGGTCACATTCCCTCTGTTAATACTGCCACCCCTAAGTAGTCCCTACTGCTCCAGTCGGAAGATCCCCAGACAATGGTCGGTCAATCGTGGAATAGGTTTTGGCGCTGTAGATCTTAAAATTTTGAATTAATTAAAAACTTTGGTTGGAATTAATTAAAACAATATGGCCGTGAACGAAGTTGTGTTTTTGCAACTCCGTCTTTATTATCTGTTTTGTAAGACTTGACATTGACGTTTTTGGGGTGAATTATCTAATTTAAGAAATCTCGTTGATTATGTCCTTAAGACTTTTTGCAGCTGATAAAAAAAACGTTCATACTTTCAAAATTATACATACTATTGCGTTTGTTGGTAGCTTAAAGAAAACAATAAGATTTGCTTCAAAAGCCAGAAAGTCCAACCACTAGTCTTAAATTGTCCAGCCAAGAATGATTATGCCATTCTTGGCTGGCTACATACCCCCAAATAACGAAAGTATACGCCACAAAAACGTAATTCATGACTCGTAAGTCTTACGTAGACGTCTGAGTCACACACACAGGGGTAAGATACGACTCGACGCCCATACTAACCCTTCTCTCACCGCCACGCCTATGTCTAATGATGTTCATTAAAGCGCAAATTAACTTTAGGCACTTGAAGCCAAGTCTTTGGCGCGCATATTAATTTAAGATTTAAGAATGTCTGCAATTTGTTAGTAGTCGTCTTTCTTGTGTGAGAGGTTAATGGGAGTCGAGTTGGGAACTGGTGTTATACACTTGACGATACCAGTTCTATTTAATTTTAAAGCTATGTTTTTGCGAAGCACTTTCAGTGAAACTGTAGAACTGGCAGTTATGTAGTGACGTATTGGTGGACGGTGTCTGCAATCGTCTGGTCCTCTATTTCATAACATCACAAGTGAAAGGATAGGTATATAGGTGTTACTTTTAATATGTTTCCAACTTCCATCATTTCAGTGATGAAATGATGATCAACATAAATACGAACCGTATCAACCCCCTCTATATACCGTACATGTACCTCTGTTAACCTTTCTAATTCTTACATTGTCTGCAGGGCCTGTTCTCTCGGATGACCTTCAGAGAGCCAGTGTGGGTGGGTGGTGCAGGCAACACCACTGGCCTGCAGAGCAAGCTGGGCCTGTCGGACGGACTGCTAGGTTGCGTCGACTTCCTCAGGATCAACGGAGACACCTACCAGCTCATGAAGGATGCTGTCGCCACCCTCGATATCTGTAAGTCCTATAGAAATAATAGAAATTAATGAGTACTTACTGTCTGAATGTTTAAGTTACTTGTTGGTTTGTATTTAGTTGTCTTCGCATTCGTCAATGAAAGACAAGTTTGCGATCAACTAAAATTTTAGATTACTTGTCTGTTCAGAACATTTGCTTGGCGTAACAGCTAAGGGTGCGTCCACATCTGGCGAATGCGCAGCACGCTCGCGAGCTGTCGTCTCCGCACCCTTAGCTTCTTTACTACATTGTGGTTGTTTCAATCTCACACGAAATAAATCTTTATTAAATCTAGAAATTATTCATTAATAAATTTAGACTGCAACGTCCAAAGGACTAATAATTAGCAATCACGCTTGAAAACAACCATGTTAAACTAATTCAATACCCCTAAATTAGTAGACATTACCCTTACTAGGTGCCGGTAATGTCATAAACCACATAAAACAACTTCAGTTCGTATTTCCTTAGTAGAATATTGTTCATATTTACGTTAGTCTGTTCCCAAACCAACTAGCGTATGTTGCGAGAATAATAATTTGATTAGGATCTCTTTGGAGACACGTCTAGTAAGTAATGGACGATGGTTCCGTGGCACCGTCGTTCCCGCCACATTTTCTTCCCGATCTTATCTTTATTTGAGGCTGATTTAGAAGGCGTTTATATTATGAGTGCTGAGATAACGTGTACCTTATTCTTGTTTATTGAAGGACGGTTTTGGTTCGTGGAAAAGTTGTCTGTATTGTAGTTTGTGTTATGCTTTAGTATTAAGCGATTAAATTATGTGAAACTATTTGCAGTTCCCAGTTATAATGGCGAACCCAGTAACAAACACTGATCACAAATTCAAACCTAGTGCTATTATTAAACACCGTGCTATATTATGTAATGCAATCGGAACTACAAATGAATACTTAGTAATGCTTTGTTCGACCAAAATCCCCCAGACGATCTATCCGGCAACCAAACGATTCAATTCTATAGTTGAGTATTCAATTTACATTTAAATCACGAAAACATTCCATATAACATTATCCACTCGACTGACATCATAACCCGTCCACAATCCCTTTTGGTCCTCAGGTCATTGACCCACACAGCCAGCCTTTGAAGTGATCCTAAAATACCAATAGAATGTCTGTATTATATATTACTTTGGAATTTTCCTATTTTGTAGTCATGGACGCCCTCTTTGAGACAAATCGAATCAAACATATTACCATCAAATCCAATTGGATAGAATTCCTTTTCGATCTACAAGAGCAGCGTGGTATATACTTATGTATGTACATTAGGTTTATTCATAAAATATAATAGACATCGTCCTCTTACCGAGGATCCATAACCATCGTTCATTATTATCTGCCAGAATGGGCCTTTCAATCAAACATTCGTGACATTAACATTACGATTTTCACGAATACTTTCCTTATTTTGCCATCGCCTTTTATTAACTAGGGATCTGTTCGTGTTCCTTACGTTTTCTGGAATTTTAGTTTTTCTGAGCGACTACAACTCCTTTAAGACATGGATAAGAACTAAATTCATATTTAGATTGAAAATAGTCACACACAGCGCTCGTGATATGCTTAGGTTAATTCATAATGCGTGGCAAATAATTATCTTCGAAAACTTAGCACACAATCAATCAATCATTCTTATTATTTTTCTTTTCACATAATTATGTTTTTCAAGTATTGGGATAGAATTGTCTTTTCAGATGAAAATAGGTAGAATAGAAACGCAAGCAATATCGATATCGTTCCATTTAATAATACAGATCGCAACTCCATTTGAATAATTCAAGTAGAACTATGAATAAACATAATCCGTGTCCTTATTCCGATGCATCTTGTTAGCTTGTGTTGCCGTTTTCGTAGCACCTAAGCGTAGACTAGCTCGTTTAAACAATTTCAGAGTAAATCTGCAAACCGTTTGTGCCGCCGATTGGATTTAAAACGTTCCATTTGACACGACAAACAGAATCCGCTGGCAGCCATGTTTGCGCGCCGAAATGTATTGTGATGTGAGCCAGCGATTTCAAGATCGAATTCAGTAAATAGAGAGGATTTGTCGCAAGCAACGACTGAATCATAAGGCGATTCTTTTTATGCTGGCGATGTCTTTTCTCTGTACATTTGTGTTACCTTTATTGGATCGAATGTCTACGAAATGTATTTAGGTGGCCATCAATAATTCCACAGAGATCAGATGTTACGAGACCCTCATAAATCGTAACATTCGCTTTGTTTTTCATCATATTTATTTTTCTGGTGTAGTTCTTAGTAAATTTCGAATAAATTGTGTGTATTCAACCGTTCAAAAAATCGAATATCGTGAACAAGCAAGATACTGTCGGTCCCTTGTTATAATTTTCGTATTAAGGTAAGGTATTCGCGATCCGCGCTCGGATGAAGAATATAAAATTCTTACTTTCATCGTAACTCGCAATAAAGTACTTGATTTTTCACGGAGTCAACGAGCCCTAGTAAAATATTTTATAGCTAGGTAGATATTCGTCCGGGGCACGCGCCGCTTCTTTATTATTTGTTCGCCGCGAAACAACTTATTACGTACCTATTTGGAGCCTTTCAATATGTATTGTGTACGTACCTACATATTTATACACACATTTTCTTGTATGTATTTATGGAGCTTATCAATTTCTTACGTCTCAACAATGTCTCAATCTACTTATAACAATGTACGAGTATGTTCGAGACTTTCTTTTGCCTGTAATTTTATTCTTTTGTTGTAGCTAAGTGAATAATTAAATTCTTGCGATTTTCTTCCAACATTATACGATTTTTTCTTATCCGCTTTTATCTTCGGATTGGGTATACAGGATTGTAATGACTAACGCCAGTTATTATTAGTCCGACGTGAATAAGCCATCGGACACAATCGTCGAAACTTGACTGCTCCATAAGTAAATGAAGGCATAAAATTATGCCATGTTTATTACATCACATGGTCTTATATTTTACTAGCAGCCCGTCCCGGCTTCGCACTGAGTAGACAATTATTTATTTTTGGAAATTTGGATTATTGTAGTGACATAACTACAATAGTTGGACGTATGCTACCGCGGAGTTTTTTGTAGACATTATGATGTTCTTCAATATTGTTGTAAATTATTTTGTTCTATCGCTAATAGTTTCGGCAGCGCATTCGACGAAAGACATTTTAAGACTCATTTTTCTACACCTTCGGTTACATTGTTCAAATTTTACCAAGGATCCCTAATTTCTTTCAAAATGAAATGTAGACTATGTCAAATTGGAAGAATGTAGCATTCTGTTGGAAAGATTTTTTTAAATCGGCCCAGTACTTTTTGAGCCTATTCATTACAAACATACAAAAATAGGTACAAATCTTTTCTCTTTATAATATTAGTATAGACTAGTATAGATGTACGTACTAAGTCTTCAGTTGTTCCTCGCTGGGTAAAGCAGGCCCCCTCCTCGTTAGCTGGGCGACGGGGACGTGTACGGAATTCCGGTGATGAATGGTGCCGACATTACGGTGCGGCCCTTGAATTTGAATTTCTCAAACTTCACCATACCTTCTTCTTCATTTTCACATCTTTCTTGATTTTTTTGGCTTTTGTCTTAGAGTAAGTGTTAGTTATGTGGCTACCAGCCTGGATTCTTAATTTCATTCTCTAATGTGACTCATGATAGGATTTTTTTATACAACAACGGTGGCCAAAAAAGCGCACGGTTCACCTGATGCAACACGTGGGGCATTACATGCACCTTGCTGACCCATTTCTGAGTACTGGTTGTCAATACCCTTTGTGGTGATCAATGGTCAGCTTATACTTACAATACCGGATATTGCGAGACTGAGATATTCCTTACCCTCATCTGAACCATTCCTCGTCATAAATTCTGAAAAAGATTTTGAATCATTGTCTTCACGTCAAAGCCACAGCTCTGGTATCCCACAGCTTCAAGTCCCCACATTTCCATATTTACAAGTATGTAGGTCACCTCACGTATTACAACGCCGTGCATTGAAAAAGGTTGTGTTCGCTGCCCATTGAAGTCGTGAAGATTGCCGGAAAGATTCGGGGTAGATTGGCGTACTAAGAAACTGGCGCACAATGGGGAAAAGGCTTATACCTTACGCCGGCTGGACAAAGGGTAGGAACTCTATTTGTAGGTAATTTCCCGACAGATTGCTTACATTCAACTCTGTATTGGCTTTTTATTATCGCTGCCTTTGTGAAACTTTGATTTTCCAATTATATCTCTTTATATTTTCCTTGAAACATCTCGAAGTTGCTCTAGCTAATTAATCGTACGTCAAACGAAGCTGTTCGTTTTGCTCTAAAAAATCCTTATGAACATTATGACGTGTTTTTTACTTACTCATTATAATTAAGTAGAGAGATTAATTCTGAGAAAACGATGTGAAGGTTGTTTGAAACTTGGAGCTCATTAAGTAGTCAGAAGTTGGTTCGGAAGATCGAGTAACCTCCATGCGGGTGAGTTCTCAACTTTATTCGCGTACAACGCGACGCGTAACATCAAGTGTTATGATCCTAGTTACTCGTGAAAGTGAGAGCTAATCTGGGCTTTTACGTAGTAGTCTCGGTTTATTAGGAAACCACACCTGCGTATTAAAGTCTTATAGGGAGTTTTTGCTGCAGTAGACTACGTAGTCCTATATATTACCCGGCCATTATTACGTGGGACTTGAAACAGATATGGCGGGAAATGGGTGCTAAACTTAAAAACGTGTCGCGAAGAACATAATGGGTTACCAGGGCTCTGGCTCGAAGCGCAGGAGAAGGAACGGGGTGGTTTTTAGTCAGTTAGAGTCTGACACTCTCTCCCGTCTCATCCAGGCGGGAGCAGTCATTCGATGATTATCCCCCCTTAAAAAAAATAAAAAACTTAAAAAACGTCTAATAATATGGTTAAAAGTTTCATGTATTTTAACTCGTCGAGTACCGGTTTTGTAGACACAATTATAGAACAATAGGTTGCGGTCACCGGTGACCGCTTGGTGTTTGACAGTTTAAGTGAAAATTTATAAACATTGTACCATATCACCTCAAAATCGATAGCTCAGCGTGAATTATCCGAACACATCAGACTACGAACACATTTATTTCTTGAACCGATCGCAAACGACAGACAACTGCGAGATTAAGTATGCCGGTGATAAATGAGATTTCTTCTCAAGTCTCAAGTTATGGGACGCTATGTAGTAGGTACCACCTCGTGGTGCCGTGCGCTGAGGAAGTTTAAAACTTTGAGCCGTGGGATATGAGGATGAGGTATGGGCCGATTATACCGACAGACAGTCTTACACACCGAAGCTATAGTACGAACTATAGTATGCATGATTTGCTGATTTTAAAGCGGATTGAAATTCTATAGTTTTATTATTTATTCGTCTATTATCTCTAGTATGATTTCCCGCCTTGACTTCTCTTGGGTCAAGTGACAAGCGCAACTGCAGACTTGAATCGCTAGATCGGGAATGTATTATTGTATGAAATTTAGAAAATGAACAGTAGTAGTACGGAATTGTAAATGATGCTTGATGTTTGGTTATAATGGCATTTCGCAAATGGTGAAAAGTCGGATTACCATATAGTATGAGCATCTCTGCCAACCTCTTCAAAGTTGAAAGCTATTTAAAACCCAACTTAATTCATACTACACACTGTAACATAACGTACAGAAGCAAAGGAGTGTTTTCCACGTAAATTAGGACCGTGGCTCAGACCGTCCGTATTTACCAACGGAAATTGAATAACTAATTTTGTATGAACTTTTTCGCTTTTGGTTTTACTGTTTTCCAACTTTATTTTGCGCGTAAAATGCTATTTTAACCGCTCGGACTAGTGAATACTAAAACATTTTGTATAATTATTAACATCATGCTCATAGGGAAAGACGTTTGTCCAATGGCGTTGCTGATATTTTTGTATTTTTTTTTTATATTTGATGGGCCGATGTTTGACCTCTATCAAAATTAAAAATTCATTTATTCACATTTAAATAGAGTTAATACATTTGATGGTTTTTATGTTACATCCTTTGTTCTTATAGTCTATTTAGCCTGCTTAGGGCATGTGAAGTTAAGTACATTAAAAAAAAGGAAAGGAATGGTATTACACAATTTTATTCAATAATAATCCAATTCAATAACATTCACAATATAATTCAATTAAATTCGAGTCGGAGTCCAATACAAGTATGAAGTCAAATATTTTATTTTACTAAACAATGTCAATTATAAACTCTGTCATCAAATACTATTTACAGTTAAATAAAATAAGTTGAACATTTAGCATATTAAACAATGTCCCTTTTATCATACAAGCCTGTAGCCGTTTTTACATTAAAACTATTTTTGAAACCATTCATTTATAGAGTAAATCATTTTCTTAAGAAGTAACTCTTTTAGCACTTTCTTGAACTTTGGTAAAGGAAGATCTTGGATTGTTGTTTGTAACCTATTACCTCTATATATTTTCACGCACATTGCTGAACAATTCTTTTTAAAGATTGCTGTTTTTGGTACAAATTCTAACACTAGTCGTTGACCATGTCTTGAGCTACGTGGATATGTATTGTCACGTGTGTAGATGTCACATGCTTTTATAAATAGGTTAGGATTAGACTTTACAAACATACAGATTTCGAAAATATACATACTTGGCAAAGGTAGTATGTTGAGCTTCTCGATATAAGGTCTACAGGACTCATATGGGGGAATTCCAGCAATGGCTCTTATGCAACGTTTTTGGGATAGAAATGCCCGTTGTAAGTCTGTTGAGTTTCCCCACAATATCAATCCATATCGCAACACGGAAGCCACATAACCATGGTATGCTAACAATACCGTATCTCGGTAAGCGATGATACGGTACGTATTATATTTGTCACCAATTTTATAATGTTAGTGAGTTTAAGGCCTAATCCTAAACTCAAAGCATAGATTGAAACTGTGCACACTTATCGTGTCTAAAGCTCTGTGCTTAATCAGTACTTCAGACTTACGAGGTAACAGAGGAGGATCTTTGGGGCTTATCGGTAATGGTTTGCAAGTCACTTATCCAAACTGTAGCGCCATATCTGGCTGTGATTTTCAATAAATGTATAGATGACGGTGTTTTCCCTGACCTAATGAAATATAGTAAGGTTATCCCACTATTTAAAAGTGGTGACACTAAAGAACCTAACAACTATAGGCCAGTGTCTGTTTTACCGGTTCTCAGCAAAGTCTTTGAAAAGTTGATGCTGTCTCGGATGCTTCATCATTTTAATAAACATTCCATCTTTCACCAACAACAATACGGTTTCACTAAAGGTCGTTGCACAACTGACGCCGGTGTCACTTTGATTAAGGAAATATTTGGTGCTTGGGAGGAAGCACAGGATGCTATTGGTGTATTTTGTGACCTCTCAAAAGCATTTGATTGCGTTGACCACGAAACACTTTTGCTGAAATTAGATCATTACGGGATAAGAAACTCTGCGCTCCGTCTTATGAAATCTTATTTAGAAGAAAGACAGTTAAAGGTTCATGTTAACGGTATTAACTCACAGGGCTCTGGGATGAATATGGGCGTTCCTCAAGGTTCAATATTGGGTCCCTTTCTCTTTTTAGTCTATATAAATGATTTGCCATTTATATTTAAAAATGAACCAAGAATGGTGCTTTTTGCAGATGATACATCATTAATTTTTAAAGTAGATCGACGTACAAATAATCTTGACGACGTAAACAGCTCCATTCTTCAAGTGCATAATTGGTTTACCATTAATAATCTAGCACTTAATGAAAAAAAAACAAAATGTATTAAATTCAGTTTACCAAACGTGCGTAGTAACGATTGTGATATTGTTTTGAACGGTCAAAAGTTAGAATTTGTCGACGAGACAGTATTTTTAGGCATTACGTTAGACAATAGGCTACAATGGGGTCCGCATATAAAGGCGCTTTCGGGGAGATTGAGCTCAGCTGCTTTTGCAGTTAGACAGATTAGACAGCTCACGGACGTGGATACAGCTAGGCTTGTCTATTTTAGTTATTTCCACAGCATTATGTCGTACGGCATTTTGTTGTGGGGTCGAGCTGCAGAAATAGAATCAATATTTATTCTGCAAAAGCGGGCTATCCGAGCAATATATAACTTACGCCGTTGCGAATCGTTGAGAGAATTGTTTAAAACGATAAATATTTTAACGGTGCCCTGTCAATATATATATGAAAATATAATGTATGTAAGGAAAAATAGGCAATTGTTTGAAAAAAGAAGCGATAGACACAATTTTAATACTAGAGGCAAAAATAAGTTAGCTATACCGCAATTCAGACTGTCCAAAGTACAGAAATCCTTTATGGGGTTAGGTATTAAATGCTATAATAAAATACCAAATAGCATACTAGATCTCAATGAAAGTAAATTTAAAACATATATTAAGCGCGAATTATGTAATCAAGCTTACTACACACTGACAGATTATCTTGAAGATAAGAATGCTTGGCAGCATGTTGGTTCGGCTCCACTGGACAATACTCAAATGTAGTCAGTAGTTAAATTCCAATAGTAGGTAATATAATACATAATTTAATACTTTAATTCTAATGTAGACAATCTAGTTTCCTTATGGCATCGAGCATTTCTTTCTTTATTAAAACAAAGAGTTTCCTTTTTCTTGTATAGAAGCACTATTTCTATGGATTGTCAGTATGCATATGTGAGCACCATGTTGGACTTAAGATCTTTATTATTTTTATTTTTATTTTAGTAAGTTAGTAGTATAATGCGTCAAGCGTGTCTTTGCATTGTTCTTACATATGCGTACAGTATTGAAATATGTATCAGAGACATTGTAGAACATACTTTTTTAAAAGAGTAACGAATGGAGTTTCTTGCTCGTTCTTCTCCATTCGAATCTACGTTTTGGAATGAGCACCTAGCTTCACCTAGCTTCACCGACGGACTGACTGACAGACTATTATTTATTTTGTATTTGTTGACGTTTCAAAAGTACCAAACTATGGTTTAATTGAAATAAATGCTTTGACTTTTGACTTTTTTTGAACAAAACAATCGTTAACGCTATAGAAACGAAATAAATATGTACATATATTGGGATTTGTTTATGTTAACCACATAACTTGTTGCTGATGATAAAATCCACATAGACATCTCCTATAGTTGACTTTTACTGTTACAACCGTTCATTCACACAAACGCAACATAGTCGACAACATATAGCCATACTTGAACATTTTTTAGGTAGAGGTATTATGATCTGATATTATCAGAATTTATTCGAAACATAAGAAGATTACTCTACGCCCACACAATCATATGTAAAACTATGTATGTTCGTGCATCCATCCGTATTTTATTACTATCGCTAATACCGCGCTCGCTAGAATAATGAAATTCCATCTCGCCACGTATTGAATGCGTAATCGTCAGCCGTTCATCTAATAATAGTGTTTCGTTGTTTTGTTCTGTGTATGCTAATCGTGCGGTTTGTTTACTGCAATTAGTGCCTAATTGTCTCAACTTAGAATTCTATTTACGATCAAATTAGATGCCGTATTTATTCAAATCAAATTGTTGCCGTTTATCTTTAATTTCGTGAAAGAGCATGAAAGGGATGGAGGTAAAGGGGTACTATTTATGCGTAAATTCTTTTCTCCAGTTAGGAGTTGATAAAATTTGATAATAATACTTTATAGTACACGAACTTGTGACCACTTGATAAACGAAAACTACTCATAAATAAAAGATCACTTGCTTAACTTAAATTTTTGTTTGCAGCGGAATGTGCCCCAACGTTAGCGCCTTGGAAGCCACCGATCGAAGTTACAAGTGAATCAACACATCAGAGAGAAGACCACGCGATATACGACATTAATGACATCGTACACTTTGAAGACAACGACATCGTCATGAGAGACGCCAAACGAGCTAAAATACACGATAATAACAAATTAGATAATTCCGTCGTGCCATTCAAAACTTATTCTAGTTACAATGACGTTAAAACACTTTTTGGTAAGGATAATAAGAGTGCTGGAGTTGTAGCTGATGTGGACAATGACTTGAAGAATGAAGAAAAGAAAGAGAAGTCGTGTGAGTGTCAGCACGGTGGAGGGTGCGTCGCTAATGTGTGCCTGTGTCCCCTCGGGTACGCGGGCGTCAAGTGCGAGATCACTTTAGACTTGAAGGTGAGTAACTCCTTAGACACGAATATTCGCTGTTAAATAGGTCATCTTGTTGCCATCACACATCTAAAATTCTATGTGTTTGTGTTTATGCATGTTAAAACGCCTTAGCCAGTAGAAAAATTCGGATATAAGAAAATTGAATAAAAAACCTATTTTATTTTGATCACTATTTGAGGAGAAAGTTTATCTCTAAATTGAGTCCTGTTTTGCTAGTTTGTAATAGCTCAGTGGAGGCGTATGAAAAATCCTCAACTTAAATTTCAGTATCGAAGCTGTCAGTGTCCAAGATTGATACAGAGGATACTGGTATTTTATTATTCCCCAGACTTAGGTCCTCCTATTCATTGTCAAAACAAGTTCCATGCGAAACCATTACTTCTCTCAATAGTTCGCAAGAACGTGTTTCAAGAAAACGAGTGCTTCCTTCCTTTTATTTTACTTCTTTCATAAATCAAATGAGTCGGGAGACTACCCACTTACTTTTGTCTTTTTATAACTTTGTTTGAGAAATTTCCTCCGTCCAGACTTGTAGCGCTCGCAATGTTCTCTTGGACTGCGGAAAAAAACTGATAGTTTTGTTCCGCGCTGTTAAAGTGCGACGACTTTTTTTAATAAGACCGTTTTGTGTTAAAATGTTTGTTGTTCAAAAGAATATTTGAACGAATTAAAACGCTTTGTAAACTTCCGTAGTTTTCCGAGCTGCTTGTTACGTGGCAATAAGATGTTACCTTTAACTTAACAACTATGTAAGCTGCTTTTACTTGGTTCTACAAGTTCACAATGGCCCATTTTACTTAGAACGTAGTTATGCTAATATGTTCCCACAATAGCTTTTGTTAAACAGATTGATAGCGAGTCTTTTAGCTAAATTGTTATTTTTATGTTAAGTTCGTTTAAACTTGTTGTTCAACATATAGGATAGTAATTTTCTTTTGCACTGCAATCTAAGTCCTAGCTTTGAAGAGACAGCCCAAAAAACCGTACCAAGGTTTGAAAGACTTAATCTCATCAAGTCTAAGTATCAACATAACTTTTCGCATAACATAACCAATGAGATTCAATTCCATTGACGTCAATAATGACCAACAAACAGAAAGAGATCATTAATCATTAATGCGAATGAAGTCACAACTGAGCATCAATATACACACGTCGGCACAGCAACCAATGAATAATTTAAAGCTGCATTCATTTGTCAATTTTATTTTAAAGTTATCTTTGTGAGTGAAAATATTTGTGTTTCATTCAGAGTGTATTGTAAAGCCGATGTTTATTATTTCAGGTGCCCCGGTTTAATGGGTCGTCCTATCTTCGGCTGCCGGGCTTGGGGAGCGCTGCTGAGTCCTGGCTTGATATCCAGGTGAGAGAATATACATAATGATTTCGTTTATTTGAATGTTTTGTTGATTGATGAAACATCTGGAAGTCCAACGACTCACACCATTAATGTTGTTGAGAGCAAGGCTTAGTTTTTGTGGAACATTACGAATTAATCTAACAGTGCTGTCGTACAAAACTGCAATATAGTTGCTCAAACTACGGGATTCTGAAACCCGTAGTGAAGGGACTTGTAGCATGTCCAATGTAAACAGCTCCATCCGAAACGCACAAGAAATAAAATAAAAGACAATTACAAAGAATAATATCGCTAAAGATAGGTGATCATATAATTATTTTAACTCAAGGTCAGCAATAAGCCGAGAGAAAACAAAGAAGCGCCAACAAATTGGGCGCGGAAACCCATAAATTACGAAGTTGAAAAATATGGCCGTCCATCTAACTCAGTGTTGATCTTTAAACAAAGTGTAAACGAGTGCTCGCCTAATATTTCCAAACAAAGTTTTTCTTTTTAAAAGCTTTCAACGAAACTCCGGATCAAATATAATTTAGACTAACGTTAGCAGACACTTAAAAGTTAGGCTATAAATTTATAGGCTCAGGTGCTGCGGATTGCCTGTATAGTCTGTATCTGTACTATAGAGACTAATGGCTTGCATGCACATGTGTGTGTGCTTGTGGGTGGATCGTTACAGCCGTCTAATATGTCTGGTAATAAAACTAAAAGTGGCTAAAAAGCGCCAACATATTTTTTAAGACTTCTAATTTAATGATCAGCGTAATTGATGTTTTATACTTTGTGTTTTGACGACGCGACGTCTACTATTATGAAGTTAAAATCTATAAGCCGTTTGATAGATTAGACTAACATTGTGAGCTTTTGGTAAATAAATAACTAACATTAACCAAAGTACATTTCATAGATACTGTAGAAGTATAGGTAGATATAGGAACGCTGCATCCATACTGAAACCCCATTGATGCAGGAATAATAGAGAAGTGGATGACAAACAGCCTCAAACCATCATAAATTCAACAGAGAATAGAAACTGCTACGATAGTTCGAATATCTTCGACGATTTCAGATCAATAGTTCGAAATCGGCCGGCAGTTCGAACGCAAAGGCCATTGATTCGGAACGTCTTAGATAAATTATATAACGACAGTCGCAAACAAATAGGTTTCCGATCGGAACACGGGTACACTGAGTTATCGGACCAATTCTAATACTAATTTCAATAGTACCTGTAATAATTTAGTTAGGAACCGGGAGATTAGAGGTCTAATTCTAGGGTTAGGTTAACCTTTTCCTGTTTTAAAGTTCTAAAGGTTCTATGAACTTCTTTTTGTGTGTTCTAGCTTTTTGTCTACATTTGTGTCGTGGCACTCGTGGCGTAATAAACGGTTTTTGTTTCTTGCTTCTTTCTATTCTATACAGTCTTTTACATTGTTCGACTCCCGTAATCGCTTGTGATATGGTCACAATGACCAACACGCAGTTTTCAAGGCACATTAAATATAGGTACTAAGTCTACTTTTAAACCCGCCTGCCGAGTACGAAGGTTATGGCAAACCGTCTTAAGTGGAATAAACCCATGTCCAGAAATAAATCCTGTGAAACTTTTTTTTTTTTAATTCATTAATCTTTTGATGTAAGAAAAATTTATTGAAATCATACTTATTAAATATACAATTACTAAATGAAAAATATACAACTTAAAATATAAATAACTATGAACTAAAATATTTACATTT